AAAAATTATCAAAACAAAATTTGAAAATTAAGAAATAATTGTATAAAAGCATTATTATTAAACTAATTAATATAGAAACAGTTATGAAGTAGAAAATTAATTTTATTGGTAAAAAAATATAATTATACATGAATCAATTATGGTTATAAGTTATTACTAACAAAGATAAAATGAAAGCTGGATAAAAAATACATATGATTTGTGATTACTTGTATGATGATATTATGTTTCTAGACGTTAAATTTTGTAAAAAGGAAAGCCCATGGGCTGGCCCTGGCCTATAGGGCTTTAGGGGTTTTTAGCCCTGTGGGCTTTTTTAATAAAGAGTTTTTTTGGCCCTGTGGACTTTTTTGGCCCCAACCCACATGGGCTAGGGCCAAATCTTATTAAAGGGGCTCATTTGAGAGCTCTACTCTCGTTTAGGCTAGATAATGTTCTTAATTAAATTTGGTTTGGTCTTTTATTTTTTAATTTAGTTTAAAATCGTGTTTAAGTTCAATAAAAATAAGTTTTGTTCTCACGCTTTCTGAGGTTAATATTAAAAAAAAAGTTGATTTCTTATTTAAAAATATTTTCTTTGAAAGTGTGTCTTGTGAAGGTATAATAAATAAATTCAGACAACTTTCTTTTAGTGAAATGATTTATAAGAGTTTAAAATTAAGTTTAAACCCTTTAGTTGTTCCTATTTTTGTGAGCTTTTTTCATTTTGATCTCTTATTTTTTAAAATTCTCAATTGAGTCCTTAAAAGTGCTAATTTGAATCAATTGAACCCCTACCGTTAAATTTACTTAACGTGGTTAAGTTTTTGTACAGGTGGGAGGTTGATGTGTCAATTTTTTAAAATGTGGCATAAGTTGAGTGTTACGTGGAATGTCCTAAGTTTAACTTGAAAATTGTTTGATTAAAAATATTAAAAAAAATCATCTCCATTACAAGCACCACCGAGAAATCCTACCCAGAAGTCTTCTTCCCAGAGAGACAAACAACAAAGAGAGACCCAACAGATAGAGAAGAAAGAAACAATGGGTAAAGAAAAGTGGAAATGGTGGTTGGAGTGCCAGTGGTGGATGCACGGTTCAGCGTTTCTCGCAATTTGGTGAACCCGTTTTGGAAGAGGAAGGGAACGGGCCGGCGACGCTTCCGATCGGCAGTGCCTCCGGTTCTAGGTCGAAAGTTCATCTTTCTCAACCAAGGTAGTTTCTCCTTGCTGTGACATTAACGGAGGGATCCACGAGCGGAGGAGGCGAGGCGGTGACATTAACGACCGTTGTAATGGCGGCAGTGGCCAAAGGAGGAACATGTTCGTCGCCTTCCATTGAGGAGAGAAGAAACTCTCCCCGTCTTATATTTCGGTATTTTCTGTCTCGACAGACAATTTGTTCTTTCTTCCAAAATTAATCTAAAATTCTAAAATTGTAGTAGATAAAAAAACATGAAATAGAGAGGGAGAGAAAGAAAGAGAGACAGACATTGAAGAGAGAGAAAGCGATTTTACAAGGGTTAAAGGCATTGTGTTTGTAGGTAGAGAGGAGTGAGAGGGAACCTGTGGTGGTCATGATTTGGGGGATTTTTGGCGAAGCCCTTATGTATTTTTGTGAAGGAGCAACATCAATGGCGTTTTCTAGAAAGAAGCAACAACAATTCAGTTCTTTTCTGAAAAGTAATTTTTTATTAAAACCAGCCAAAATGAGGGTTTTTCTGGATCTGAAATATTCACATCACCTCTTTGACACATTCAAAAAGTAATGATTTTAAACAAAATAACATTGTGCTTTATACG